ATACATGTTTAGAGGAGTTCCCAACAGGTTCAACAGCATTGCAGATAAAAGAACAATGCTCATGATCTAAGTTAAAGAAAGAAATCTCTTCAAGCATCATATATCCAAGGTGCTATGTGTATTCTCATATGGTCAATGGCAGTACATGAATAGACTCTGGTTTCAAATTAGAACCTGTTTTTAAATTCATCATGCAAGACTAGATCTCATAATTTGCTGAAACCATGTTGATAATGCATGCACTACAGGCAGCTAAGTAACTTGAACCCCTGTCAGCTCCAAGAGGAATCAATGGTGTGTAGTGTCACACACATTGACTTCAACATTTGATTTCTATTACCTGTCTTTCACTATAGGTCCTAGGATGGCTCACGACTAAATTAAAACAAAATTTAGTAGAATTCTAACTTACTTGTAAGATGAGACAGTTTAGATGCATTTATCACATTGAAAAGCTGTGCTCTTTGTTAAATTGTGACTCCACTTAACAGACACATCTCTGACTAGTGGTTCCTACTCATATTACTTTCAAATATACTTATTATTGGTGCTTTTCATTGAGTCACTTGATAGTATAAAGAACACTTGCTTCTCACAAAAATAAAAATAGTATTTGATATGAGAAATATTTGAAGGTTACATGAATATTGCTTTCTTCCCTTGGAAAAGTTCTGGTTTGCGTAGCATAGTGCAGGTTTTATAAGGTAGTCCATGTAGGCCATCTAGTGTCGAGCATGTAACAGTACAAATGTTTGTTTTTTAAAATTGCTATTTACAATGTGATGTGGATTGGAGAATCTTTATGGAAATGACCCCAGGACACAGAGGGACAAAAATTACCAAAAGCAAAACTGGCAATATTTACAGAGGACCTAGACAAAGGTGGATACATTGTTCTATTAACAGAGTGGTTAATATTATGCCAGTCCCAATCAGCTGTGTGACTCAAACATGAATTTTCCCTTAAAGCTATGAAGTGCTCCCAGTAGTTCACATGAGACTTGCCCATCTTTCCAAATAAGAAATGCAGATACTATCAAGGGATTCTTACACAATACACAGTTGCTGCACTAAAATTCCCCTTTAACCTTCATGGAAGTACAAGTCAACTTTGACTAATGACATGGTGTACTATTTATGGAGACCATTTAGTATTCTACAGAGCCAACACAGTGTAGGGATTTAAATGGTGAACCCAGACACTGGAGATCAGCTTATGTGCCATTGAGCAGCTATTGAAATCCACTTGGTTACTTAGGAAAGCCATAGCAAACACCCTCTAAATAAATTTTGCCAAGAAAACATTGGGATTTTGTCATCATAAACCAGTTAATGAAAAAATAATAATTTAGAATTCTCAGCTAGAGAGTTTTAATGTCTCAGCAAACTACAATCCCCAGGATCCCATACAATGTAGCCACAGCAATTGGAGCTGACGCGCAGTACTATAATTGTGTAATGTGAAAAGTGCACCCTGCCTCCCAGTTTCCTATTAGTCACTTGCTCAGTTATGGACAAATTGTAACTTTCTAGGTGTTGTTGAACTTCAAGTCCCTTCAATCTAAACCAGAAAAACAATTGTGATAATTGCTGAGGCATGTAGACCAGTAGTATTTACAGTGCTGCTACATTTACATGGCCCATCCACTGATCTAAATTACTTCAGGAGGGCATAGCGAAAACCCTCCCACCCCAAGCCATGGGGAAATGAGTCCTCATCCAGGACCATAGTGTGAAAAGCAGAAGCTTCTGTTCTTTGTACCCAAGCAAAAGGGCAAGAGGAGGCTAGTCATGAAGTGTATCACAACCCTTTATCTCTTGGAGTGGCTCCAACAAGATTAAGTTAGATTTCAGAGGGTATGTATTATCATGCTAATGCTATGATTCTAAATGCATAGTATTTATGGGCAGTCAACTTCAGGTTACAAATCCATAACTGCAACATAGGAGGCCAACCAATGAGTTCTAGTAGACCCATTTTCCCTTATGAAACCTGGGTTCTATCATCCTTCACAGTACTGGCCCTGTCTTCAAGGTAGCAGCCCAGGGGTCATACTCCTCTGCATCAAACCAATGAAAATGGCTCATTAACAGAGAACCAGGATGTGATATCCCAGGTGAATAGATCAAACCAATCAAAATAAGTCCTTGGCTTAGTAATATACATGCTGTTTTTATATTTGTCGCATTGAAGCAGGGGCAACCTTGGGGTGCTGTGAGTGTTTTGGGCTGTATGCCCATGTTCCAGTAGCACTGGGATTGTGGCGCAGCTGGCTGAGTGTCAGCTGCATTAAGATCACTCTGACCAAAAGGTCATGAGTTCGAAGCCAGCCCGGGTTGGAGTGGGTTTCCAACCAATTGTGTAGCCTGTTGTGGACCTTTGCAACCCGAAAGACATTTGCATCTGTCAAGTAGGAAAATTAGGTACCACCTTAAAGTGTGGGGAGGCGAAATTAACTAATTTATGAGGCCATAAAAAAGACCAGCAAAGCACTCCAGCAAAAAAGCATGCGGGGAATGCGGAAGTACTTCATCAGTGTCGCAGATGGACGATGAAAGCGACAGCTCCCCTGGCGGCCAGAAAAAAGTTAAATAGCCTCTGTGCATGTCTGTATATGTTGCATGTTAAAATTGGCATTGAATGTTTGCCATATATGTGTACACTGTAATCCGCCCTGAGTCCCCTGCGGGGTGAGAAGGGCGGAATATAAATGCTGTAAATAAATAAATAAAATAAATAGCTTTGATTCTTTGATGCTAATCAAGCTTGCTAATTGTAACATTCACACTTGCTTCAAACAGACAAGGGTTCTTTCTCATACCATGGACATTCCACAGATATATAAACTCCACTTGCCTCATTTCCAACAGAACCTCTTAAGATGCCAGCCACAGATGCAAGTGAAACGTCAGGAGAGAATGCTACTGGAACATGGCCTCACAGCCTGAAAACTTACAGCAACCCAGTGATTCTGGCCATAAAAGCCTTTGACAACACAGGGGCAATCATGTTTTCTGCTGTTCTGGAGACTATGACACAGAGCAATGGATTCAAACTGCAGGGAAACAGATTGCACCTAAACATTAGGAAGAATTTCCTGATGGTAAGAGTTGTTTGGTAATGGAATATGCTGCTGGAAGTGTGGTGGAGTCTCCTATTTTTGAGGTTTTAAATAAGAGGCTGGAAGGTCACCTGTTGGGAGTGGTTTTTTTTACTCTGTGTTCCTGCATAGCAGGGGGTTGGATTGGACATCCCTTGTGGTCACTTCCAATTCTATGATTCTATGAAACTTTCTAAGAAAACTACCCATTCTTCAATCATAATGAAAGAGAGCCCCCTTCGGGGAGAGAGATGTAGGTTAGAAATAAAATTGTATTATTATTATTATTATTGTTATTTATTATATGTGCAATGCCAGGAATTGTACATATGATTGTTTAATAAATACAAAGACTTGAAAATGATTCATCTTCCTTTATTATATAAAAAGCCAAAGCTTACATCAGGAGTAAGAAGGGCATTTGCCTGAAAGCAAGTATATGTGAAAAAAGCAAAATGGAGATGGAATAATTGCATTAAATGACACAAATGGACCAAAGAGCAATGACAGGTATGTTCACAGCACCACTGTTTTAAATTCATTCTACTCTTCAGCTTCGTTCCCAGCTACATAATACCTTTGTGCCATAATGGTGAATAGCTCCAGAAAAAGTGAAATGATAAATCATGGAGAAGTAGTAGTCTTTTAAACCCTGATCTCAACTTCTTTTGCATTCTACTGCATCTACCTGTGGAAGTAAGATTCACACAAGCATAAGATTTCCTTTCCATGCAGCAGATATGGAAAACTACATGAATTTATAACCACTAGGGGAAAGCCCACACATGTGTGTTTTGGTTTAAAAAATAAGGAAATCTGGGATAAGGAACAAACAATCCCTTGCCATGTAAATATTTTGCTTTAGACTTTGAGTAGAATTCAAATCAAATCAAATCATTTATTTCGGTCATTGACCAGCACAAATAGTCACATTTTCATATAAACTTGGTAGAATTCAAGATGACAGAAAAGGCTGAATCTGTAAGTATGTTCTTATAAGATGGCAAATTTCTGACGTATAAACATTCAAAGAGCAGTACTACTATTTCTACTACTGGTCCTCTGCATTCCTGAAAATGTTACTTTCCAGTTCTACAGCAGTTAAAAAACACAAATCACATTGCTACTGAACATATTTAGCACCTGAGCAGTCAACCAATTAACAGGAACCTTAAGGAGAAAGATATTTAATAAATTAAATCTGCACACATGTATATATTAATAAATTAAAAAATACACATATTTTCCTCTCCTGAGTGTGCCAAAGTAGGTATCAACTTAGAAAAAGTTTTCCACAAAGTTCAAGCAGGTAGAGTAAGGCCACATAAATCCTGGAATTCAGCATCTACAGGTTTTGTAATTATTCATGTTAAAAACATACGTGATGTTATTTTATGTGATGTGTTTAATAATGTTTAATGTTTTATCAGGGGAGGGTCAATTTTGATGTTTTACACTGTTTTTATCGATGGCATTGAATTGTTGCCAACACTGTGAACTGCCCTGAGTCCCCTTCAGGGTTAAGAAGGGCGGTATACAAATACTGCAAATAAATAAATAAATACTCCAATTAATTAGGGAGGTGCCTTTTATCGTCACATTGAGAGTAACAGTCTGATTCAGTGCTGGCCATTATGTTATAGGACTACAATACCAGTGTGCTTTATCATTGGCCTTGAGTGACAGGAGTTGCCCAGCAATATTTAGAGTCACAGATGAGGAATCCTTGTCTAAGCTGTTCATCTACATTTTTTTTTTAATTTTGCATTTTCTCAAGTTGCTCCTGACATGGAAAAAGAACTGCAATTTTGTACACATTTAGTTGAAATGACGTCATTGAAATCATATTTTCTTGATGCAGGACCCTGTTTTAAATGAATAGACAGTTATTTCAAAATATTATCTCAAATCAGATTAAAATTCCATTTATTCACATTAAGATATCTCATCCACTGAATAAGAAAAGTGTTTACATCCACACAGGCAGACTTTAGAAAGTTTGTCTGCCATCTATGGACAGCCATAAAATAGAAGCAAAAATATTATTGATTACAGGAATTATCACCTGGTAACGCCATGCTTGATGGGGCATCAGATCAACGCAACCTGTAATCTTTCTGACTTGGATAGGAAAGAGAGAAAAAATGTGCCCTTGCAGGATATCCATCAATCACCTCAAGCATGGATAATGTGTGGTCTTCCATATGTTGTAGAATAGCCACCCATTCTGGCAAGCATTACCAGTGGTGAGGTATGATGGGAAGTATTACCCCAGAAACATGGGCAGGGCCATACCTTCACAATGAGTGTTCCTAAAATTTGTTGTTGTTTTTTTTTTTGCAGAATTTCTGGCTTGAAATTTAATCAAAAAAATAAGCTTGCTCAAAGGAAGAAAATGTCCCAGTGAAAACAGGGTTGAAGTTATAGATGAGTGCTTTGTTTTCATCCTCTATGCTGGGGAAATGATGGTTGCTCTTCCGGGCTGCAAAATAAGCGAGAAGCATAGATTATTTTCATGCCCCAGTTTAGCCATTCTCACCTTTGTTCTAGATCAAGCCCTTTGGGTGCTTCCCTCTGCAGTGATAGATGGCAAAGTTACGGTGTTCTGCATCATAAAAAGCTTTGCCTAATGCTTCTGTGAAAAATTAAATCTTTTATATGTGTTCTTGGAATGCTCATTTTACAGAGATTCTAAAACCTAATTAATTTCTTCATTGCTGAAAGCCTTCTGGAAATGCTGTCTTTTCTTCTGAGAGACAGTACTCCTTTGATAACTGAATCTGGGGCAAAAATGTGAAGTTATGCTCAATTAAGACATGAGCAGATATACAAAGGAACATAGTTTAGTACAGTTTTATCTTTTTTATTGACTTTGACTTCCTTTTGACTTTTATTATGATTGTATACAGTGCACCTTTTTAAAAAAATCTTTGAACAAAATAAGTGTCATCATTCATTTAATATGGGCATTTACAATATAAAGATAAAGGGTGGTTGGGTTTCTGTGAATTTTCCGGGCTGTATGGCCATGTTCCACAAGCACTACATGGTTCAGATATGTGGATGACGCCTTCACCATTTGGAGCCATGGAGAAGAAGAACTGAACACATTCCTGGATCATCTCAACAGCATCCACTCAAACATTCAATTCACCATGGAAAAAGAAAATGAAGGAAAATGGCCATTTCTAGATGTCCTAGTCATCAACAAATCCAATCAACAATTGGGCCACACAGTTTACAGAAAACCCACACACATGGATAGATATACATAGAAACTCCAACCATCACCCAAGTCAAAAAAGAAGCACAATTAGACCCCTGGCAGACCATGCAAAAAGAATCTGTGAACCCCACCTCCTCCAAGATGAACTGAACCACCTAAACCGGGTTCTACAGGCCAATGCATACTCCACCACAGACAGAGGAGCTGCAAGACCAAGATCAAGCCATAAGAGTAAAGACAAAAATCCACCCAGAGGAAAAGTGTTCTACCATACATCAAGGGAACTACTGACCGCATAGGGAAACTGATGAAACACAATATACAAACTATCTACAAGACCCACTAAGAAAATCCAACAAATGCTACATTCAGCAAAAGACAAGAGGGATCCTCTCACCTCTGCAGGAGTCTACTGTCTACCATGCAGCTGTGGACAAGCCTACATAGGGACCACCAAACGCAGCATTGCCCAAACATGAATCAAGGAACATGAAAGGCACTGGATATTAATACAACCAGAGAAGTCAGCCATAGCAGAGCACCTGATTTATTAACCTGAACACAGCATATTATTTGAGAACACAGAAATGCTGGACTACTCTAACAACCATCAAGTCTGATTACACAGAGAAGCCACTGAAATCCAGAAGCATGTGGAGAATTTCAACAGAAAGGAGGAAACCATGAAAATGAACAAAATCTGGCTACCAATATTAAAAAAAAATCTCGGGGCAGTAAATAAAGGGCAACACTCAAAAAGCTGGGGAATTCCAGACAAGAATCAATCAGGGCCAGCTAACACCTCCCAACAAAGGATTCCCCCAGGCAGCAACCAGACAGGATTTGAAGCTGCAAGGCCATTAAATGCTAATTAAGGTGGCCATTTGCAATATTCCCACTCTCCTCAAGCAGACAAGCATTCTTTCTCCCACCCTGGACATTCCACAGATATATAAACCCCACTGTCTAGTTTCCAACAGAACCCTCAACTTCTGAGAATGCCTGCCATAGATGTGGGTGCAACGTCAAGAGAGAGTGCTTCTGGAACATGGCCATACAGCAACCCAGCGATTCCAGCCATGAAAGCCTTTGACAACACAAAGACTGGTTATATTGCCACCAATACTTTGATTAAAAGTGATATTGTCATGAAGTCTCCTTTCCCATTGTACAGTTTACTACCCACGTTCGCAGTGTTTGATATCTTGTTTACAAAGATTCCATACCTTCATTGACAAAGAATTCAGCTGTGAAATAGGCGACTTTTATAGCTGACTGGGAATGTGGTATGCCTGGTGAATTCTTCCATTCATATGGGTTTTTCTCTGGATGCCACTGGACACCATACACTGGGTATTTGTAAGCTAGGAAACAATATGTTTTTCATTATTCCATGCAAACATGACAAAAGCTTCCTCTTAAAAACAGGGATTCCATAAACATTTTACTGTTGAAATCCAATGTGAAACAATATCAGTCACGAAGTGGGTTTCCATGGCCAAGTGGTGAACTGAACCCTGGTCTCCAGAATTGTAATTCAATGCTCAAACCACTACACCACACTGACTCCTTATGTACTGAAACCAGGACTTCCAATTTATAGGCCTGTCACAGTCATTATACTCCTTCAGATACATTAAAAGAGTGCCTGTGTAATAGAAAATTGCCTCTACTTTCATCTTGAAGGCAAATAAAAAGTTTTCCTATTCCACAAATAATCAGAAAACTACAGAATATGTGTCCCATTTTGGGTTCCCAGATGTTGTTAAATTAAAACTCCCTAAAACCAATGATATAAGTTCTGGGAGTTGTAGTCCAGTAGTTAAGGAGCCCGAGTTTGGAAACAAGCACCATAGAACAAAACACTCCCTGTAGTGGCCAAGCTCTTCCAGAAGCACTGGATCAATTCCATTAGCTACCTCATTAATTCTCCTAATTCCATTTGTTTTGACTTTTGTTCCACTAAACTTGCTGCCACTTTCAGGGGTGGGAATACTTGCCATGAGGTAAGCTTATGTCACGTATTTTGCCTTATTCAAATAGAAGGAAAGTCTTTGAATGAATTCAGATGCTGCAGAAGCACACTGTCCCTTCTTTTAGACTTCCTCCCCCACCTCAGAATTAGAGATTTCTTTAATAGTGATGAGCAGGTTTTGTAGGAGTGCAAGAGGCTATAGAGACAAATGGAACCTACCATCAATGCCCTTCCTATTGTTGGACAGAAGCCATAATCCAAATCTATGCCATGCCTTGGCTGCTGTGTCTTATTTTGTGCAAAATTTAGAAATTGAAGAAACTTTTACCTTCCATGGTGGATATGAACTCAACATTGTGATCATTGGTTGTCAAAATCTTGTAAAAATCACGCAACTTCTCATTATTTGTGAAATTCTGTAAGAGAAGAAATATAATGGATATTTTTTTTTCAAAATGTGAATTATTTTCTGCATCATTGTATTATCAAAAGTATGTTACCTGCACAGAAAGGCTCCAAAAATGAAAGTGTGAAGTCACGGGCTCAGAAGCTATTGCTTGCAATAGATCATCAGGAAAACCTTGAAACATTCTGCTGTCATGGGCACCTTGTACCAAAAACAACAATTTGAATCATATTACCATCTGAACTGTGCCCATTTTCTCTATCAGATTTAGAATCTATGCAGCAGGGCTATCGATCTAATCATACCTCAACTGTGGAACACCCTGCCAATGAAAGTTAAGAGATGGCGCTATCGGTTTTGGACTTCCAGCAGGCGGCTAACATGGCACTCTTAAAATGAATGTGTATGCTATACAGTTGCCTGTTAAACCCATGAATTGTATGGGGTTTTCATAGGCAAGCAATATTCCCAAATGTTTCTGTTAGTTTCTTCCTCCAAAATATAGCCTAAAGCCCCTGGTATTCATTGGCAGTCTCTCATTCAAGTACTAGCCTATGCTGACCCTGCTTAGCTTCCCAAATCACAAGGGTATTTCTTGTGTTTCATTTATCTATTTTGTTTTAAATGTTTTTGTGTTATTTAATTTAGTGCCAATTCATATTAAATTGGCAGTGAATGAAGCAATTTTAAAACTTAAAGGTAAAGGTTTCCCCTTGACATTCACTATTTCTGACTCATCTCCATTTCTAAGCTGAAGAGCCAGCATTGTCCGTAGACACCTGCAAGATCAATGTGACCAGCATGACTGCATGGAGCACTGTTACCTTCCCACCAGAGTGGTACCTACTGATCTACTCACATTTGCATGTTTTTGAACTGCTAGGATGGCAGAAGCTGGGGCTAACAGTGAGAGCTCACCCCACTCCCCGGATTTGAACCACTGATCTTTTAAGCAGCAAGTTCAGCAGCTTAGTGGTTTAACCCACTGTGCCACTAGGGGCTCCTTTTAAAACTTTAGGAATAGATAAATAAAACATATAAAAATACAGCATCCATCTCATAGCAAATAAGGAATGGCCAGGTGCCTGTCTAAATTAAAAAGGAGTGCAACCTATACTACTATGACATTTGCACAGCTGGGGAGCAGCCATCTCAAACTATAAGGCCTTAACTTCCCCTGATATTCTATACAGTCAGTACAACTCACTGAGGCAATAGGAACAGTCTCCAATGAGAGCCCGTTGGTGGTTTTGTTCTCTTTTTCCAGTCTTCTAATGCCTCTTCTGTGGTTTGGCCTTACCAGATCCTAGTAAAGTCCATCGCACCAGAATGCAATATAAGTGGGCATGGTACATCCATGGGCTCAGGGACAGCAAATCCACTACTGCTCCTCCCAAAGTTGATTGGAATTGAATAAAAACTCAGAGTTAGAAATCCCATTCAAGTTGGAGTAGCTTTAGTAGAAATGGTGGCAAAATCCAAAATCCCACACCTACCTAAACTTCCATGGAGCTCACTGGTTGAGCTTGAGTGAGTAACATTGTCAGTTCCAGAAACCCACGTGATAGATTAGTCTCAGATTTAGCATAAATTGAAAACTTATGCTAAAATCAGAAAACCCCAGGATTCCAGATGGTGTTGCCAAGGCAGTTAAAAGTTGAATCATAGCATAATAATTGTCTAGCATAAAAGGGCTTAAAGATGTAAGTCTTGCACCAGGTCTTAAAGTCACCTCCACAATGGAGGACAGCGGAGTTCAAGTATTATCTAAGATCCCGTTTCTAAATGAAGGTCCAATCCCACCTATTCCCTCAAATTCCAGAAATATTTAACACATTTTTTGAGTTTTTACCTTGAGTAAAGTTCAGTGGCAATGCAAAGCCATCTGTATTGGTCCAAGTTAGCAGGTCTTCACCACTGGTGAGATAGCTGAGCAATTCATGCCCCAAGCATGTCCCCCATACTGGAAAATAGTCTCCTCTGTCATTGGCCTTGAAAATAAAAATTAAAAAGTCAATACAAAGATCAAGATGTAACATTCTTAGACCCAACTATGCCCCTGCCACCAATCCCAACTAGCAGCGGCTGACAGTCAAGACAAATTAATGTTGAAGACTAAAACATCTGGAGGATTCCATGTTAGGGAAACCTGTATTAGATATTTATATTCTGTATTAGATCAGTTTAGGAATCCAGACAAGATTGGATTTAACCGGAAATCACCAACACCATTTACAAAGGTATAAAATGGAATGGGGAAAGAACTGGAAATAACTTTTCAGACATTCCCTTATGTTTTCAGCTCTTGACACTTTTTATTTTGGGGGTGGGTGATTTCAGAGCCATCTGGAAAATTCCATGTTAAGGACTGCTGCTTACTCTTTTTGTTAATAATGTATTTATTAACTTAATATCAACGTTATATTTACTATATTATTAATTACTATTCATTAATAAATAAACAAGTTTAGGCAGTGTTATAAATTCCCTTTCCACCTGCTACTAAGGAGGCTGTCGAGGTCCTGAACCGGTGCCTGGCCGCTGTAATGGTCTGGATGAGGGCGAACAAACTGAAATTAAATCCAGACAAGACAGAGGTACTCCTGGTCAGTCGCAAGGCCGAACAGGGTATAGGTTACAGCCTGTGCTGGACGGGGTCGCACTCCCCTTGAAGGCGCAGGTTCGCAGCTTGGGTGTGACCCTGGATTCATCATTGAGCCTGGATCCCCAGGTTTCAGCGGTGACCAGGGGAGCATTCGCACAGCTTAGGCTCGTGCGCCAGCTGCGCCCGTACCTTGGGAAGTCTGACTTGGCCATGGTGGTACACGCTCTGGTCACATCCCGCCTTGACTACTGCAACGCTCTCTACGTGGGGCTGCCCTTGAAGACGGCCCGGAAGCTTCAGCTAGTCCAGCGCGCGGCAGCCATGTTACTAACAGGGGCGGGACGCAGGGAGCACACAACGCCCTTGTTCCAGCTCCACTGGCTGCCGATTTGCTACCGGGCCCAATTTAAGGTGCTGGTGTTGGCCTACAAAGCCCTAAACGGTTCCGGCCCAAAATACCTTTCGGACCGCATCTTGGCCTATGAGCCCACGAGGACCTTGAGATCGTCTGGGGAGGCCCTTCTCTCGATCCCGCCTGCTTCACAGGCACGTCTGGCGGGGACGAGAGAAAGGGCCTTCTCGGTGGTGGCCCCCCGGCTGTGGAACGACCTCCCTGCTGACATCAGACAGGCGCCTTCCCTTCTGTCCTTCCGAAAGAGCCTGAAGACCTGGCTATTTGAGAAGGCATTCAACTGAGCGCTACGGCAACTGGTAATTGACAACTGGAACGGAATACGGATTACGGTATTGGTTTGATTCTATGATGTGACGGAGCGGATTATTTAGTGTAACTTAGATTATAGTGTATTATTGTTGTATTGATTTCCTGTTTTGCCCTTTTGTAAACTGTTTTTATATGTTGTGCACCGCCGCGAGTCGCCCTAGGGCTGAGAGCGGCGGTCAATAAATGCAGTAAATAAATAAATAAATAAATTACTAAGAATTAAGATGTTTCCTGCTTGCAATGTTCGGGCCAATAAAAACAATGCACATAGAGTATTTCAATTTTTAAGCAATAGAATAACTCATGTTAAGCTGCTTTGAGTCCCCTTAGGGGGAGATAAAGTGGATATTAATAAACAAACAAACATAATATTATTCATATTAATATACTGTATATGTCTGAATAATCAAAAATACAGCTTTCAGGTACATCTCCTTTTCAACAGTTTATGTTATACTTTTTTATATAAATACGTGTATACAAGAACACCACTTTTTATCAGGACAGAGTCACCGCATTTAAGTGTTTTACAGCTCAATCCTGTTGGTGCAGTAGAGCCTTAAATATGAACACATAAGTGACGTAGCAGATACTATTTCGAAATAGTGGAAATATGTGTCAACTACAGTCTTCCTTCTTCAGCCTTTCCCCACACTAAACAGAGAGAATTTGCATTTTCATCTGTTTACCTCCAAGGCTTTATGGTAGAATATTTTTGCAACCCTGGAAAATTCTGAAGTCTTAAGGTCAACACCACCTCCAGGATAAAGTATCCTAAGAAAACAAAATTTCAGCAGCAATGAACATGACCGTTGACTGAGTAGTCAACACAAACACCATGACCAAAATCTTGTCAAGACATTGCATACTTGCAAGTGAACTTATGTACAGCACATCCCCCGTTGCCCATGGATTCAACACCCACAGTTTCACTTACTAATGCTCAAAAAACATTATGGGATCTCTAACTGAAACAGAATTGCAAAGATATACAATGTCTGTTTTCAATAGAAGGCTGCTAATGTGTACCAGAGCCAGCAAAGGGACTGAAACAAAATGAAACATTGACAAAGATGTGGGCATACAGGATTCTAGCCCACTATAACTATGGAAGGATTTGTAATAGAGGTTTGGTACAAATTACATACTAAAGTAACATTTCAGTAATGTTGTCAAAGTAACATTCTTCATGTCTGATTGCCAGAAAACAGTGCTATTTTACTACAAGTCCCATGCCTGTATTTGTCTACTCAAAAGTAGACCTAAGTCAGGCAAGGTGTAAAGCTTCCTTTCCCACATTTGCATGTACTTGGCTACCATGGAGATTCAATGAAGATCTGAAAGCAGTTTCTTTGTATATATTTTGATAATATTAACAATATGATCTAAATTCAGGAACCAGTTTCCAACTATTAGAATTCATGTCTGTGGCTAGTACTACAAACTTACTGACCCTAATCATGTTATTGTCACTTGTCTCACCATCTTCTCAAAATATTTCAAAACAATTTGTTCTGACAAAGATTAGTCTAAGTCACTCAAGAAAATCCATAGCTACACAGAAATGGGGAACTAGGTCTCTGGTAGCATCTCAAATCCTAAAACACCAACTATCTAACAGATATCCATTATCATACTTACCCATTAATGGAATTGAAAATTGTATCATACGCTTCATCTGAGAGATTTAATCTGCAGGAAAGTAATGGAAAAAAAGTTCAAGTGTCTATATAAAGCTTTTACATCTATCTATATACATAATAAAAGTGAAAATATGTGTGTGTGTGTGTGTGACTGAGGTATCCACTTACTCAGACAAGCCCCCTTCCCCCCACAAACAGCTATAGCTCCCACTACTCAGGAGACACCAATGGCCTTCCCTCCACAAACACCATACTGCCCACCACCCAAGTGAAGGCTTTCATAGCGGAAAATTTCATTCTAGATTTTATATGTTTCCTCCAACAAAGACATCCCAGTATTCCTTACTTTCTCCATTGGCGTGGAATTTGCATGACCCCGTTCACTGCCTCTCCCATAACCCTTTCCTATTCCTGTCTATGGCACACAGCAAACAAAAGAATTGAAACCACAACTGAACACACTGGAGAGATTTGGGGGGAATTCACCATGAGTTATAGGAGTTGTATGTACTAGGATGTATCATTCACCTGCAATCTAAAAGCACTCTGAACTCCACCAACAATGGACCTGGAACTAACTTGGGGCCCCCATGACCAACAAAAAATACTGGAGGTCTTTGGATTTATAGGAGTTGTAGTTCACTTACATCCAAAGTGCACTATGAACCCAAACAATGATGGATTAAGGTACATGACTAAGTTCTTGTGGGATCACTGTGAAAAAGACACTCTCTGGATAATTACAATCCGCAGGCTGAGTAATTAAGGTCAACAAGTTTGGGCCACTCCCAAAGGGATATAACTGGAGAGGGTCTGTTGTATGACTTTGGGTTTACTAAATGTTTGCTCCTAAGCTTACTCGGCATAAGCTCCTGGCTTGCAGCCTATTTGATGCTGGCAAGTTTGTCTTCCATGCTCATTTCCATGAACAAGAAATGAAGACTGGAAGAAGACATATTTTCTGATATAAAGCATTGCATGAATTAAATGCAAGGAATATACATGAGTTTAATACTCCAGAGGAATTGTGATTGTATTATGACTGAAAGTTTGTGTTGAAGTTGCTGTTTTTTTCATGAACTCTGCTACACAAGAGTAAAATTTAAGTTTTGCTTTTCTTCTACTTGTGTTGCTCATTTTTGAGTATACAAAGGACTAATCTCCTGGTCTGCATGCATCAACAAACCATAACACATATATCACATGGGAATAAAATCAACTCACTTGAGAAATGTGTTGAAGAGTTCTGTGGATACAATGGACTAGTAAAATAACAAATAAAGAGTCCTAAAACAAATCAGGCTTGAAACTTCTCTACAAACCAAGATGACTAAATGGAGGCCCCTTCCACACAGCTCTATAAAATCCATATTGAACTGGATTACATGGCAGTGTGGACTCAGATAACCCAGTTCAAAGCAGGTATTGTGGATCATCTGCCTTGATATTCTGGGTTATTCTGGGTTATTCTGTATGGAAGGACCTGGAAATTAATTGGCATAGGTTGATGTCGATGTGAAAGCAGTTAACAATAAAATGAAAGACCATCACTTGCATAATCTTACCTTATTGGTACTACTCGTGCTCCAGCGGATTCCAAAAATTTCACATATGAAGCGGCAATATAAGTTTTCCCAAACTTCTGGAAGCTTTTAAAGTCAGTTTCCTGTGATAATATTCCTTTAAAAAACCAGAACAATATAGAATGCATATTAGACACCGATTTTTCTCTGTAAATATATGAAGATGCTGCTAATAACTATAATCAAAACACCTATGGTCAAAAAGGTTACTGTCTTTCCTAAATGAATGATTTTAAGAAGGAACAGACATGGTTTTAGGTAAATCATATGGCATTTTTTTTTAAAAACAAAACTATCAAATTGGGGCCATTTCACATGTTACTAATTTTCTACCCATTAGTAACCTAAATGACACCGGCATGAAAACACAGCTAGATAGAAATGAATACTGAGCCCTCTGTGTGTGTGTGTGTGTGTGTGTGTCAGTCAGTGTCAGGAGTGACTTGAGAAACTGCAAATTGCTTCTGGTGTGAGAGAATTGGCCATCTGCAAGGACATTGCCCAGTGGATACACTGATGTTTTACCATCCTGTGGGATGCTTCTCTCATGTTCCTGCATGAGAAGTTAGAGCTGACCGATGGGAGCTCACCTCACTCCCCAGATTAGAAGTGCCAACCTTTCGGTTAGCAGTCCTCCCAGCACAAAGGTTTAACCCACTGCACCACTGAAGTTGATCAGTAACTTAGAATACATCTACACTGTTGAATTAAGGCAGTTTTGCGCCACTTTACCAGCCAGGGCTCAGTGCTATGGAATTCCAAGATTTGTAGTTTATTTAAGCATCAGCATTCTTTGGCAAGAGTTTAAAGACCTTGTAAAACTACAACATCCATGATTCTATAGCATTGAGCCATAGTCGTTGAGATGGTATCAAATTACATTAATTTCACTATCTCTTAGCCTGAGTGGGCATCAGCCACTGTGAACAGTGTTGATTCTGTTGATCAGGGTGCAGCAGACATGGATAGGAATACACACACTTTGTGAATATGAATCAGGTACAGATTCATAACTCCAGGCTTGAAATCCATAACTGCAATATTGACTCCTAGCTGAAATTATCAAAAGTGTGACGTACCTTGCAAATTAGGGACTACCATTCTGTAAATCTCTTCAGCCATCATCACACTACATTCTTACAAGTATTGTTTTTAAAGTATTTTATATTTTAAAACTTACGGTAGTCCATGCTAACATAATGGTTCTTTTTTATGTCAAGAGCTACTCGAGAAACTGGTAACATAATGTAACACAGTGACATTTAACTAGTTACATGGAGTAACCTTTTACATGCAGTTTGACAGGACTTTCTCAGCTTTAATGAACTTCTCTTATAGATACTAATGTGTTTGTCTCACAGAGCTACAATATACACAACAGGTTATTATTTTCAGGAGTGTAATGAATGATGGCAACAGCTTACTCACCAATGCTACAATGAGGAACAGAAAATAACTGCTTTCAAACCCCCCCCCCCTCCACAACTTTCCAACTCTGACTAATGAGAGCAGGTATGTTTAAGAAGTAATTACATATCTATAATTTCAAAATGACTTTATAATGACATACCCTTCCTCCTCAACATGTCATATTAATATAGTAATGCGAAAAGGCATGGGTACTGCCACAGAGAATACAATCAATATTTTAGATTGAGGACAAAGGCTGTGACTCTCTATACTTATTTTTCTTGTTGTTATTGTATGTCTTCAAGTAGAATTTGACTTATGGAGACACTAAGACTCTGTTACTGGGTTTCTGGAGCCTAGAGCGTGTGACTTACCCAATGGAGTTCAATTGAATTGGGTGGAGAATTGAACACTGGTCACCGGAGTTGTAGTCCAGCAATGCCAAAATCACCATACAACACTGGCTCTTCTCTACATATTTACCCTGGAATAAATCTCACTGAATGCCTAAGTATGTATACTTAGGACTTATTCCTAAGTATACGTGTGTGTGTGTGTGTGTGTGTGTGTGTGTGTGTGTGTGCACAGCTCAATGTGAGGCTTTCTCTGGATCTCCCTAAAAGCAAATTACCAGTCTGAACAGAAAGATGCACTTCAGGAAGCCAACGAAACTAAACAGCAGCCTCTGGCCAGTAGTGGACAAAATGTGTACACACAGGGATAAAGATTTATACAGTGCAACCTCCCTTTTGAGTCAATATCAAAGACTAAGATGGCATCTTATATGTTGTTCTCTTTCCACCTGAGTTTTCTTACCTGAAAGAAGATCTTACTATTTCCCTAGATATGGAGCCTAAATACCCTGTGAAGGCAATAGAACCTTTCCAAAGCTGAGTAGGGTCAGGCCTGGTTATGGTAGTACTTGGAAGGGGTCTACCTGGTGCTATGTTTCAGAAGAAGACAATGGCAAATTGAATATTCTTTACCAAAGAAAACTCTATGAAATTTACAGAGAGCCTTACTCAATGTGAGTTACCAAATGGAGTTCTACTGAATTGAGTATGATGCAGCAGTTTGATCATTTGACTAGATGTCTGGAGACCAGGGTAAAATCCCTGCTTCGATGAGTCACACACTTTCAGCCCCAGAAAACCTCATACTACCTCTTAAGAGCCCCCATAAGTTGGAAGGCAAATAACAATAACATGCAATTAATGAGGCCACTATAATTTGTCACATGACTTGAAAACACACAACAAATAGAAATGAATCCACAAAATCACCATAATTTTCCAGGTGACCTGAAGCCACCTAACAAAAACCTGCTGTCCGAATTCAAAACTCAACTGAAGGCCTATCTCTTCTGGCAGGCCTACCCAGTTGTTTTTAAACACATTGTATTTGTATTTTGATCATTGCTGGATTTACCACTGTGCTTGGGTGTACTTAAGCACAGAGTCCTGTTAGTCGGGGGGGGGGGGATCTTCCTACCCAAAAAACAATGTTTACAATGGATTTTGCTTATGTGGTGCAATTCTAAATTTGAAAGCATTCTGTTTCACAGCAATTTGAGACATAGAGTTGATAAAGGTTTTCCCTGACATTGTCTAGTCGAGTCTGACTCTGGGGAGTGGTGCTCATCTCCATTTTGAAAGCTGAAGTGCTGGCGTTGTTTGTAGACACATCAAATGTCATGTGGCCAGCATGACTGCATGGAGTGCCATTACCTTTCCACAGAAGTGGTATCTATAGATCTATTCACATTTGCATGTTTTCAAACTGCTAGGTTGGCAGAAGATGGGGCTAACAGCAGGAGCTCACCCCCTCCCTGGATTCGTACTGCCAACCTTTTGGTCAGCAAGTTCAGCGGTTTAACCTGCTGTGCCACCAGGGGGCCACAAAGCAGGCAGTGTAGGCCTACTGGACCTACCTCCTTCAGGGCCCATACTTAACTAGCACAAGGCCTCATTTGTCCTAAATCCTGTGCTGATTTTGATATATGCATTTGTATTGCATTATAACTCTTGCACTATGTATTTTCATAGATGTATTTTGTGGTGGTGCATTTTAATATATGTATTTTGTTGTATGTATTCTATGGCAATGTGTTTTAACTGTGTTCTGCCCTATCCTGAGTCATGAGGAGGGGCGGGAAACAAATGAAAAAATACGATTACAATTAGCAAGCAAGCAACCAGCCAGGGCCGAATGACCAGCATATTTCACTTGAAAAGTAAGTCTTGCACCATCTTTTCCCATTACCAGGCCAAGGCCACCAGGGGGCGCTAGAGAAAGGCTAGTCCATTTTATGGGGGTAGAGGATGGGTTGAATGAGTAAAACAATTTCTCTCAAGTTTCCTGTGATATTTTTGTGTGTGTTGGGAGCAACTTGAAAAACTACAATTTGCTGCCGGTGTGAGAAAATTGGCCGTCTGCAAGGACGATACCCAGGGGATGCCCAAATATTTCGATGTTTTACTATCCTTGTGGGCGGCTTCTCTCATGTCCCCGCATGGGGAGCTGGACCTGACAGAGGGAGCTCATCCACACTCTTCCTGGATTCGAACCTCCAACCTGTCAGTCTTAGTCCTGCCCCCACCCATAGTTAATGAAATAGAAAGTGGGGAGGGGAATAAACAGAAAAGGGGAGAAATGGGTTTCCTCCTTCAACTGCCCCCCCCCCCCCATGACCTATTCTTCTCTGTCTAGGCCTGCGGTTCTCAGCCTGTGGATCCTAAGGTGTTTTGACCAACAACTCCCAGAAATCCCAGCCAGTTTCTGGGAGTTGGAGGCCAAAACATCTGAGGACCCACAGGTTGAGAACCATTGGTCTAGGCCCCCTTTTGAAGTCTGCTGGATAATGGAACAGGATGTAAGATGGATGTAAGAGATGTTGCTGCTAAATCAGTTCTTTAGCCTCCTCTAACAGAATCCTAAAGTTGAAGTACTTTGGCCACATCATGAGGAGACAGGAAAGCTTAGAGAAGACAATGATGCTGGGGAAAATGGAAGGAAAGGGGAAGAAAGGCCGACCAAGGGCAAGATGGATGGATGGCATCCTTGAAGTGACTGGCTTGACTCTGAAGGAGCTGGGGGAAGTGACAGCCGACAGGGAGCTCTGGCGTGGGCTAGTCCATGAGGTTACGAAGAGTTGGAAACGAATGAACAAATGAAGAACAGAATCCTGGTGCCGCACCAAACTATAACTCCCTTCATCCCCTACCAATGAAGTGGTGGCAAACTGCATTAAGGCTGTAGCTGTGGGTCCCAACCTTTGATCCTCCAACTTTGTGGGACTAACTCCCAGAAGCCCTTCCTGCTTTAGGCGACAGTCAGAAATGCTGAGAGCTGAAGTTCAAAACATCTGGAAGGCGGAAGCCTGGGAAAGGCTGCTCTACAGAGAGATCCACCGCAGACCCAGCTCCAGGAAGCCTGGCCAAGGCAAGAGGTGCCAAGGTCTCCCTTCCCTTCCCAAGCCCTGGGCTCCTTGACTGGCAAACAGGGCTTGCAGAAACAGCATCCCTTCTCCCACCCGGCATCTCCCTCTGCCCCGGAGCCTCACCGACGATGGGTCTCTGGTTCTCGCTCCGCCGCAGCGCCAGGGAGGAGGCCGAGGCGCAGAAGAGGAGGCCGAGGAGGGCGCCCACCGCCAGCCCTTCGCCCTTCGCCTTCGCCATCCGCGCAGGTAGAGACAGCCAGCCGCTTCGCCAACCTCGCTGCGCTCAGGGTGGCTGCTGGCCAGCTCCCCGACACGGGCTCCCCCTCCCCGCGCCGCCCATTGCATCCTGGGAAACGTAGTTCTCCGGGAGGTGGGCTCGGAAAAGGACAGGGGTGGCGCCTGGGGCGCTTCTTCCTGGAAGACTTGGCTCATCCTTGAGTAAGGAGATCACACCGCGGCGCGTCTCGGTGGGGCAGAAAAGGCTGCCAGCGAGCGCCTCCTCCTGGCGAAAAAGGGGAATAGGCTCCAAAGACACTTCTCTGAGACAGCTTCCTGGAGGCTGGTTATTAGAAACGTCGCAGCTGACGTGTGGCCCTTGCGTCATAAATGCAGGCAGTAGCACAACCGTAAGGAGGGGTCTGTGTGTGAGAAAATGTGTTGGGTTTCTTCCCTATTTCTATCTCAATTTTTTTCTCAGCTGTACCTCAAAAATAAGAATTTGGAAAAGTTCTTTTTGGGACAGCAACTCCCATCATCCCCTAACTAATATAATAATAATAATAATTATTATTATTATTATTCAACAGAAAGGAAGAAACCATGAAAATGAACAAAATCTGGCTACCAGTATTAAAAAACTCAAAAATCACAACAGCAAAACAACAGAGGGGAAACAAACAGGCACATAAAATCACTCTCAACAAAAGATTCCCCCCAGGCACTTCCAAGCCATTGAATGCTAATCAAGGTGATCAGCTGAAACATTCACACCTAGCCCCAGCAGACAAAAGTCCTTTGTCTCACCCTGGTCATTCCACAGATATATAAACCCATTTTTCCTACTTCCAACAGACCTCACTACCTCTGAGGATGCTTGCCATAGATGCAGGCGAAACATCAGGAGAAAAATTGCCTCCAGAACATGGCCATATAGCCCGGAAAAACCTACAACAACCCAATAATAATAATAATAATAATAATAATAATAATAGGATTTAAAAATCGAACTGCAAAGCCTCTGGCACAAACCAGTAAAGGTGGTCCCAGTGGTGATCGGCACACTGGGTGCAGTGCCTAAAGACCTTGGCCTGCACTTAAACACAATTGGCGCTGACAAAATTACCATCTGCCAGCTGCAAAAGGCCACCTTACTGGGATCTGCACACCATTATTTGCCAATACATCACACAGTCCTAGACACTTGGGAAGTGTCCGACATGTGATCCAATTCAACAGCAAGCAGAGTGTCTGCTGTGGACTCATCTTGTGGTGTTTCAAATAATAATAATAATCATCATCATCATCATCATCATCAAGCTACTCTGGGACTTCCGAATTCATACTGACAAAGTTTTGGAGCACAATACTCCTGACCTCACAATTGTGTTAAAAAACAAAGTGTGGATTGTCGATGTCGCAATTCCAGGTGACAGCAGGATTGAAGAGAAACAACTGGAAAAGTTGTTGACACGATACGAGGATATAAAGATCGAACTGCAACGATTCTGGCACAAGCCAGTAAAGCTGGTCCCAGTGGTGATCGGTACACTGGGTGCAGTGCCTAAAGACCTTGGCCTGCACTTAAACACAATTGGTGCTGACAAAATTACCATTTGCCCTCTGCACAAAGCCACCTTACTGGGATCTGCACATATTATTCGCCGATACATCACACAGTCCTAGACACTTGGGAAGTGTCCGACGTGTGATCCAATACAACAGTCAGCAGAGTATCTGCTGTGGACTCATCTTGTTGTGTTTCAAATAATAATAATAATAATAATAATAATAATAATAATAATAATAATAATAATCTTTATTTATACCCTGCCACCATCTCCCCAAAGGGGACCCGCAGCAGCTTACATGAGGCCAAGCCCAATGATACATTACAGCAACATAAAATGTAAACAACAAAATAACATCACAATAAAATAAATAAACCAATCAAGTAAAATAAACAGTACAAAATAACATAATGGAAAATAAAACACAGTGGGCGGGCCAAATGCATGACATAAAATGATAAAACCCTGGATGAGATAACTAGCCAAGTCAGGGACGGAAGCTCTGCAGATCCAACTCTCAGACTCTAGAGGGTCTGGTGATAGTATGATAGCTGGGTCCGGAAGCTTCAAGTGTTACGGAGATGCCACAAAGGCGGATGTGAATAAGGGAAGAGAGGGGGCAGAGTGAGAGCAGGGAGAGCGAAGGAAGGATAGAAAGGAGAGGACGCTTAGGGTAAGGGTTAGGGCAAGGTTGAGGGTTTGGGTTAGAGTTCCGGTTAGGGTACAGGTTAGGGTAAGGTTTAGAGTTTGGGTATGGGTTAGCGTAAGGGTTTGGGTATGGTTATGGTTTGGGTTAAGGTAAGGGTTTGGATAAGAGGTTAGGCTTAGGCTGGTGGTACAGTTAAGTGTTAGGGTTTCACCATTAAAGAACTCTTACATTCCTTTTATATTATCTGTCTCCGGCCTGGCTTACATTAGCTAAGTCTCTCTTATGCAAAGTGCCCTCCCGCAGGAGCGATGCAGCATCTCCGTAACGCTCAGAGCTTCCGGACCTAGCTATCATACTATTACTGAGGGCCTCATCACACTCAAGCATTTATCCACTTTAGATAAAGGTAAAGGGCAAAAGTATGATAGCTGGGACCCAGTGCTGGTTGTGCTGCGCTAGTTGTGTAACACGGCTCTGAATTAGAGAAGGGAACACATGCACCAGACACACCATCATGTGCATGAGACACTGCATGCAGTGAGAGGCGCAGCTATGACAGAGTCAACAAGGTAGTTTGGTAGAAAGGGGTGGGGACAGCCAAGCATACTGACGTAGGCTATCCACGTTCAAAAACGTTGTTGAATTGGAAGGAAGGATAGAAAGCAGGGGAGAAATACAAGCAGTGGTGAAAAATGCACGAAACCCAGTCACTCTTACAGTACTTCACTGTTAAGAGAAGTAAGACCATATGTCAAGACCTGTTCCTTAAGGTAGGAGTGGTTTTTCATATCTTATACAACCCACTGCAAACATAGCATTTTTCAAACAAGCTGAACCTTTTTTAAGCTGCATCCCAATATGTTCTTCTGGGTTTTGAAAAAAGTCTGGATGGAAATGCAATGTAACGTTTACTACTATTAGATGTAACAATGGGAAATAATCATAATTTGAAATAACATTGTCTCTCAATATAATGAGTGTTGATTAAAACACATACATGACAGGACAGCTAAGATCATTGGAAAAAATCATTTCTTTAATAAAGGATACAAAATTACATAAAACTAGATTTTTATAATATATAATTTATTGTTTTTTAAAGAAGGCATGTAAGTACTCTCACAAAGGTGCAATATATTATATTATTGCAGTTTCTTTTTCACTTCAGTTAAATGTTTTCTTCTGGCGTGTTACTTTCTATATTGTGTATGCATGTTAATTATTTCCTTAAATTAAGGGAATAATTAAAATTAAATTTTTTAGAAGTCAGGAACCTTAATGTTCTGATCTAGTATACCTTATGACCAAAGAGAAGTATATATAAATAGAACTCCATGGAATGTTAGGGCCAGAAATCAACATTGTAAGATATATAAAGGGGTTACTCAAGATGTAGTTTGCACACAATTGCATGCAAAATACAAACAAATCACAAATTTCTCAGGACTTTAAAAATAGGCAGCTCCCGAGTTACAAACACTTGACTTACAAATGACTCCTAGTTAAGAACAGGGGTGAGACAACAGGAAGTGAGAGAAATCTACCCCTTGGAAGGGAAGTTCACTCCTGGAAGAGTTGTCATGAAGAAAGGAGGTCTCCACTGAAGCTTTATCACCAACCTGTGTTTCCACAACAAGTCCAATTTTTTGAAATCTAATCAGTTATCACAGGGACTGAGGCCCCTTCCACACAGTTGAATAAAATCCCACATTATCTGCTTTGAACTGGGATATATGGCAGTGTGGACTCAGATAACCCAGTTCAAAGCAGATATTACGAGATTTTCAGCCTTGATATTCTGGGTTATATGGTTGTGTGGAAGGGTCCAGAAAGTGAGGTGAAATCTTCTGAACGAACATAGACACCAAAACAAACACGACTGGCATCTTAACCCTAAAGCTAGCTAGCTATATGTATCTGTCTGTCTGTCTGTCTGTCTGTCTGTCTATCTATCTATCTATCTATCTATCTATCTATCTATCTATCTATCTATCTATCTATCTATCTCTGGATTTACACTGTTAAAATGTACCTGTTCTGACTTATTTACAGATTCAACTTAAGAAAAACCTACAGAACCTATCTTGTTAGTAGCTTGGGGATTGCCTGTATTGTACTTTAGATGAAAAGATAAAATGCTAAGTGCAAAACTATATGCACAGTTTACGTTTTTCTGCTTATAGTGTTCAATTTTTATTCTAAAAATATATATCTAGTTATATAGAAGTAAATTACAAACTATAAAGATATTCACTGTTCACTTACTGTACATATAGAAGACAATTAGAAGAAATATATTATTTTAACTTTTTAAAAAATTATTTAGAAAATGTATATCCCACTTTTCAACTAAAAAGGCTCTCAGTTAACATCACAGTGTTAATTGCAAAATATCCGCAAATTCTAATATTTTTAGCTGAGAGAGACATATTTATTTTGTGTATGTGCCTGTTGACTTATGGCAGCCCCATGAATTCCATTGGCTTTCTTAGGCAAATAATACTCAGAGATGGTTTTGTGATTTCCTTCCTCTGAAATACAGCCTACAGCACCTGTTTTTTGTTGGTGGGCTTCCATCCAAGCAGGATCTGGTTCCTTTAGAGCACTAAGGCAGGGATTATATATCAACTGAAGTCCTTACTACTGAAGACCTTACTGTAGGGCCAGCGTCGTCTCATTTACAGTGGATGTATGGTGTGAACCACCCACTTTCATAAAGAAGACAAACCCTGAAGAAGGGGAAGTCCCCCGAAACAAGGCAACCTCAACCCGGGGATCCTTGTCGTATCATCATTTGGATTATATTTTGAACTGGATACCATTTGGACTTAATTTGGACAGTATTTGAAGATAATTAACTGTCTCAAGGACTACAAGATAACTAAGTAACATTCAGTTTTGTTTTGTGATTCATGTGCAGTGTATTTACACGCTTTATGTTAACACAGTTCTGTTTTGATAATGCTTTGCAACTTGTATTTTGTTACAGGTATCATTAACAGCTGTAAGATAATCACTAGGGTGTTTTGCTGCCCAAATGGCTTCCAAAATCACATTTAGTTGTTAACCTTCGCCAATTTATACCATGCAATAGCAACTAAGTCTTCATCTATACTGATCATTTAATGCAGTTTCAAACCAGTATTGAAGAAAGTGGTTTCACTGTGCTAATGATTATGTAAGAAATCCTGGAATCAGTTTGAGGCCCAAATGATGATTACACAAACCGCAGAACATTGCTTATTGTGGGCTTTCTTTTGCAAGCTTTTGTTGGAGTTTGTTGTCTAGCTACGACTTGAAGCTAGCTTCAAACTGCATTAAATGATCAGTGTAGATGGGGCCTAAGACTGCACTCCTATATACTTGCTTACTAGCAGGAGGTCTCACTAAGTGAGAACCGAGGAACACAATTATACTGAGAAAGGCTGAAAAAAAGTTCCATTAACAACTGTTACCTCTGAGTAAACACGAATAGGTTTAAATTGCAAATATATTTTATTATAAGACACTTTTGGCAGTCTTAGGGCATCACATGGACAGGAAATTGGTTCCCAGACCTTCCCCTCTGAATAATAAAGAAGTTCAATCCCTTTCCAATATCCAATAACTTTCAGGGAAAAATATTAAGGCAAGTAGGAGGCCATTGTTGCAACTCTACCCTGCTTTTTCAAAGGCGTGTAAACTGGCCCCTGGATGACCCTTGCAGTAGATAAGACTCTGGTCTAACTTTAGAAAATATGTATTTTGGTGTTAGAACTTCCAGAATATCCAGGCAGTATGGTCAGTGATCCAGAAAAGTAACCTGTCCAAGCTCCGGCTCCCACAAAGCATAGCAGTTCAATAATACAGACTTGAATAGAGCTTTCTAGGAAGAAGATATCCCTTTAGTGATAAATGTAAAAGAATTTCTCACTTTTTTTTCCAGTATCTTTGTTCTGAGATAGACATTTCCAATTATCTAAGTCAAGTCTCTGCTTGTATTTGTTGCTCAACAAGTTGTGAAGAGGATAAGCCAATGTGCATGTGAATCATCTCAAAATCTTGGCTCCAGAGACCCATGGGATTAATTTTCCCTCCTTCATTCTCTGCTCCCTCTGAATAATTAGTAATTATGGTCCTCCCACAAAACATTTTCTGCCTGTTTAATGTACTACCCAAGCAGAGAAATACTCTGAAGATAACTTTCAGATTCCAGAATGAAGTCAGTCCATTCTTTGGAAAGCTCCTCCATGGAAGCTGCTTCACCACAATATTCTTCTGGAAGAATGTTGGCTGGAAAATGCTGCTGGAGACTCTGGGAATAGTTACAGCCATGCATGTGGATCTGCAAGGAGATGAACTATTTACAATTTTGCCCAGTTTATTCCATAATCCAAAAGGCATTCCAGGACTATACACTGCAAATTAAAGAACTGCTAAGGCAATCAGTTAATATAAGAACTAAATTTTACAGTTGAAATCACCAAATACCAGTAATTTTAAGGAAATTCGTACATTAGGACCTTTTTCAATCATGAAAGAATGCGAGAGTAAATGAGATCTAAAGCCGGCAGGGCTGTGTCTGAAAATTACTCAGTTTCAAACTCCTATAAAAACATGGGAAGAGATGGATGAGATAGAAAATGAACTAGTGCTCTTTCCATTCTCACTCCCCAACACTGGTCCTCTCCCAGCCAAAAGGTCTCCAATATAGAGTCAAAGGTTGATGTGAAGCACTTTTAGGAGCAAAAGTGTCATTATTTACCTGAATCTATACTTTGCATAAACAGGAATTTGGCATCATCTAATCTAATTTTTCATCTAATAATCTAATTTTCCATCATCTAATCTGTGCCCTCTACTTCTATGATTGACAGACACAAACTTCTTGTTGTGAATTAGGATAAAATAAGCAGTCTCTAGAATACAGTAGAGATAATGTTAAATGGGCTTGAGAGGAAGGTTTTCCATATTCAAGGACTGCTTGCTTTTAATATTTGAAGACTGTTCAAAAGTGGCAGCAGGTGCTCATTCTGTGGTACACATTGATACATTTGAGGGCTATGTTTTCTCTGAGTCCTTGCCAGACTTTTGTAAAAAGCAGTGACTTTGCTTCTGATTTCTGTTAAGTCCACTGGGAGGAGGAAGAAAACAGTTGCTCTTTGCCAAGTTCCCTACAAACTAGGCAGAACTAAGGGAAGAGTGAGGTGAATAAAGGCTGCTTTCTCTCCCTTCCCACAGAGTTTTTGGAGAAAACACAAAAAGCAGCTCATGGCTTCAGCAAAGCCCAGTGGAAAGGGAGAGAGATTTTCTTTCTAATCAAATTTTACTTTTGCAGGTAAAAGCTATTCCTCTCACCCATTTCTATATCATTCAAAGTGAACTATGAAGCAAAGTTCCTTATAAGCATGTGGTTATGACAATAGCCAAAAAGGAATGAGCGCTGGAGAAGGGATTTCTGGAACTCGATTTATTGTAACTTCCTGAGTAAAAGGCAGAGGTCTCCATTCACCAAGGCCTAGTTATGCAATCAAAGACTTTTTATTTAAGGAGATATTTGGCTGCAACAGATAAGAGCCTTTAAAAGAAGGGGGTGGTATAGTATCCTTTATTTTGTTTTAAATTTCTTTTAAAAGATGTTTTCAGAGTCTGTTTGAAAATTCAAAGTCAGTTAAATTGTTTTTTAACTTTTATTTGAAGAGGATTTTTAAAAACCATATTGTGTTTTAAAAATGTTGTATGCTGCCTTAAATCCCATGCTGGGAGAAATGCAAGATATAAAATCAATTGATCAATCATTCAATCAATCAAAAGACAACATTGAATTTAAGGTACTTGCAGACCCTTCCCAATTAGAACAGCCTAGCACACTGCTGGCCACAACTAAATGTTAAACGATAGTGTTAGTTCAAAATAATACTGCCAGTTAATAGACAACTGATTTGAGATGCAGTGTGCCAATCATATCTGTGGCAGTTTGGCTCCAGGACTCCATGCAAATACCAAAAAAGGAGGATGATCTCACCTCATATTAGTAATTGGTGGCAACATGGACATGCATGCTTCACTGTATCCACATTACGTCACTTCCATTTAATAATCTGTGGTAATCTGTGTTCAGCTGAATTAGTGAATCTAGAACTCATGGATCTGGAGGTCCCAGTATAATTGTTTGTAAATAGTTTGTGTAGAGTTAAAGACAATGCACGAGGAATGCAAACAGAGAAAATATGCTAGCCCTGGCCCACTCCTTGCGTATTTCCCACCCCCTGCACATGAGAAGTAACTTTCTTAAAAAGGGGCTTCATTTTTCCAACAAGCTCTCATTCCAAACAATTAAAAAAGCCTCCAAGAACAGAAGAATCTCTTTTTTTTTCTCAGGAGGTTGTTCCCTGTATGTGAACCATGATGAAAGGAGCAGCAGAAATGTAGAGCTGGCCTCCTGCTCTTCTCACATTTATTGTAATCCTGTTAAAGTCAACTGAGGCCAAATAGTTTTAATGCTTGAATTTTCTAAGAAAAAAATGTTCACATTCACTCACCCGTGCCTTGATCTTTTCAGAGAGAAAGGGCTTAATTATGGTAAAGACGGGATGGAAGAACAAAGGCTCATTAATCAAGTGAATACCTCGAACTTTGAGGGGGAAGGAATCCTGCCAAGAGGAAAAATGAGAAAGGAAGCATAATGCAAGATTCTAATTTTTGTAATGCTGATGTTATTCACTTGACCCAGCCTGAAAAATTGTCAGAAAATGCAATATACAGAACAGTTTCCCAAACATGGACACATTTTTATTTTTAAATACACGGGAACTGCACTTACAAAAAAAGTGACGTATTTTAAATATATGGTATTTTACTTCCAACACAAGTCTCTCTATCACATGACTCAGCTTGTCATGATAAATTACAGGTGAGCATCAGGTCACGTATGACAGCTGAGAGGTCGATGGATCCCTACTTGTGGCCTATAGTCCACACTTATCTCACTCCTAGTATAGCTCCTAGCCCCCACAACCAGGGTGATTTTCCTTATGCTGCTTCAGAGGATATTCTGGTCCTCCAAGACACCTTTAGAAGAGGCACAGTGGGAAGGACAAAGCACAAATCCTGCTTCCATATCTACTTTGGAGAGCTCCACTAAGTTGTACTCTAGATCTAAGAAATACAATTTCTTTTTAAAAATAATATAAATATTAATATAGTTAGTTATACAATTAGCCCTCCACATTTGTAAGTTTAACTTTGTCGTTCTGATGACTCACAGATTTGTTTAATATGTTCGTTCTAAGAATCTCTAGGTTCTCCAGGAGTACTCTATGGACACCTTCTTCAAAAGTTATCCATAGTGTTGCACTGTAAGATCTAGAGCTTCATAAATCATATGCTGACATACAGGTATGTCAGCATATAATTCTGTAAGAAATTATTTATGTTTGTGCATGGAGAGGAGAGAAGAAGAAATATTTGCATATCTGAGCTTTATTCCATCAATGTTTCCACTGTTCGTTTATTTCCTGTTTTCAATGCACTATTCTTAACACAGAGCCAGTACGACTTACTGCAGCAATTAAGAATAATGTTTAGAGATTTGAAATTTAATCCACATGAGACTTCCTGGGGATTAAAACTTGCAACATCTGTCTGATGAAACACATGCCACCCCTACATGGTGCTTATGCATGCATGCTGCATGGTGGAAAAAATAAGCACCCAATGACACAGCTGAGTGTCAGTCATGTCTGAAATGCCAAAGGGCCAACAAACCAACAGGTTTGTTTGGTTTTTTCAGAAGCTCTAGGTCTTACAATATCTGCCACTGTAACTATATGATTAATGCCTGGCAGAAGTTGACTATAGGGGTGCCCTAGAGAGCCTAGAGATTTCTAAAGAGGTGCCCTCTTAGACTGAAAAATAGTAGATTATTTTACCACTTTTGTGCTGGTCCTGCATCTCTAACCTCCTAAAAAGTAAAGGACCTGTGAAATAATATAGAAATAACACAGATCCGTCTTAGAGACTTGGTACGAAGATTATTGAAGAAGGCATGATACCCATTGTTTGCTTGAAAACTGCTAATTCTAAATATTATTTTAAGGGCTACTAGATATTGTGAAAGTGTGATGCTGCAGATGGTACTGACAGTGGATTACAATGTGATCACATTTATGATTTTTGCATACCCACTGCTTACCCTGCTGTTCTTAAACCATATCAAACTGTAGTATTAAATTATATTAAAACTATTTTGTAATATTTATAATTTATAAAATGTGGAATTCATCAGGTTTTTACATATTGATTGAACCATAAGTACATGCTTAACTAGAACTGAACACCTGAACTTACTGTGAGCACAGCAGCTATCCTTTTGGCCACTGTTGGAGAGATCTGAAAGGCATGGGCAAATCTCCATCCTTGGAGATCAAAGATAACCTTGACACCATTCCGCTGTGTCTCTAGCTCCCTTACGATAAGTTCAGATGTGATAAGACTTACACGAAACACATCAAATGCTGTAAACATCTTTGGATCCCATCGTGCTAAATGGAAAAAAGAGAGGCATGTGTATTCAAGTAAAGACTCAGCCTTCACTCTCCTGGTTATAAACTGACCAGTGTAACTTAGTCCATCAATTCAGTTTAGTCAAACAATAGTAATGCAACACAACAGTAATCTCAACAGCATCTTAAAAGTGCAATTACTAATCAATTCTTCAATCATTATGCCTTGATTTGGTGCTCCTTAACCCTATTCCACTAACAAATAATCCAACTGCACTGTGTTCATCTGCATTGTAAAGAAATCTATCTAGGCAGCAAATCTCAATTTGTGATTAATCACTACAGTATAAACTTACTCAGAAATTTTTTTTAGTAATCCATGGATCATAAACATAGTTTGGAAACAACATGCTGCAAACAGAGTTACCTTGTTACTTAATAACAATTTTAATCAATAACATGTTTCAAAAATAATAATAAGTAGAAGAACAATTACATTATTGGTTTAATTGTTCATTGGGCAACTTTTAGTACACATTTTTATAGGCCCTTTGATACAAATTTGTCAAATTGTATGCCATTCTATGATCCTCATCCCCTTTCCCTCAAAAAGTTAACAAAGTAATGAGCAATGCTATAAGTAATGAAACAGATTACCTTTTTTCTCATGGTAATATGTTGTAGCAATCAACTACTTTAAAAGACAGTAACAAATACGCGTAACAGAATAAATTTCAGTATCAGCATCCCTTATCCAGAATTCTGAAATCCAAAATATTCCAAAATCCAAAAGTGTCCACCTGGGGTGCTAAGACAGTGACATCTTTGCTTTCTAATGATTCAGTGTAAATAAAATGTACAATGTTCAATGTAAACCTCACTTGTCTAGTTTCCAATAGACCTTACAGCCTGTGAAGATGCCTGCCACAGATATGGGTGAATCATCAGGAGAGAATGCTTCTGGAACATGGCCATACAGCCCAGAAAACCCACAGCAATCCAATGTAAATACACTTTGTTTCATGTCCAAACATATGAAAATATTGAGTATAAAATTACCTTCAGGCTATGTATATAATATCCATACTGTATAATATACATAGACATATCATATGGATATGAAAAATAAATGAATTTGTGTTTAGACTTGGACCTAATCTCCAAGACATCTCTACATTATGTGTATACAAATACCAGTTTTCCAAAATCTTGGGGGAAAGTCAAAATTCAGAACACTTCTGGTCCAAAGGATTTTAGATAAAGGATATTCATCCTGTATTTGTAAAAAGTTATTTTCCAAATTATAATCATAAACTGAGGATGCATTCATGTGAATCTATAAGACAAGAGACATGTGGGGATCCTGGTTTGTTATGAATAAGCAGTGAACTGAAATTTAGTTTGTTTAGCTGCTGCCACTTGCAGTGGAAAATAGCTAATTCATGATAGGTCAGGGATCCTTCTTCTCTATGTTATTTGATCACACCCATAATGTCAAAACTGCTGATGGCGTGGGAGTTCATACAGGATTTTACTCTGAAATATAAGGAAGATGTATAGTGCTGCCCAAAGATAAGTTACTTACCAATTCTATAAATGAGCACTTTACTGCCAGTTGGGTCTCTTTCTTTCAAAACTCCATGGTAACCTTCATGCAACAATCCAAGAATAGAGTAGGGTCGTAAATCTGCACTCATTTCTGGACATTCGGCTCTCCATTTGTGGTAGTTTTTCAGCAGCTATAAAGCAATTAAAAGGAAGACAAGTAGATAGGAAATAACAAGATAACTATGAAATAATTTGTAAGACAGTTGTAAAAATATACTGCTTTTCCTGACACTAGTTTCCTACATTTTTCATTCAGGGCACAATTCTTATACTCACTTATCTGGAAGTAAGTTCCACAGGATTTAATACAAATTACCACTGAGCAGACATGTATAGAGTTGTATTTTAATTTAATTTTACAATCCTTTTGAAGATATATTTTATTAATTGTGTTTGGCTAATTTTTAACATCCACAATCTGGTTTTTTATATTTAGCAAATGAGTCAGCATAGCTAAAAACTAATAATTTGAATGCATTTACTATGAATTGACTCACTTGAGAGATTTACAACCCAACTCTTACCATTCTATTATTAGCCCACAACTTAACTCATTAGGCTTTTCAAGAATATTATTCATACACTTCTAAATCTGCCTGTTTCTTCTATTTCTCCACCTCACCCTGCCAAATAATCTCGATTGAAAAAGTTTAGGTTTTTATAAACATTTTCCAAGCACCTCCAGTTGCCATCTGAAAAAAGTGTCAGGCTAGATGCTGAGTTATATTTTTTTATTTCTATACAAATTAAATGCTTAAAATTTACAGCTGCCCCTCCATATTTGTATGTTTGACTTTTGGAGATTTGATTTAAATGTTCTGTCAAAGAATGTCTACTGCAACGCTATGTCCAACATCCACTGGAAGTTGTCACTGGGATTTCTCTCTAAGAATTGCTGTCTTTCAGTGCAATTCTATGGTCAACATCTGGCAGATTCCTTAGGAGACGTTCTCTCAAGTCAAAAAAAAATTGTGGTTTTTTACTTTCTTGGAGGTCCTGTCCCCCTAAACCGAGTGAATGTGGAGGACCAACTGTATTTCACTGTTTCACTATACCAGGCATGGGCAAACTTCAGCCCTCCAGGTGTTTTGGACTACAAATCACGCAACAGCTGGTATGCTGTTAGGAATTGTGAGAGTTGTAGCCCAAAACACCTGGAGGGCCAAAGTTTGCCCATGCCTGCACTACACCCTCATCCAGTATCAAAACATGAAAACTCCAGATTGCCAAGAATTAAACCAAAAAAGTGTGGGGTTGACAACTTCATCCAGTGGGATATTGAGAACATACATATAGACATCTCTGAAAAACAGTGTTAATTCACTGTCAGACTTGAAGCAGGAAGCTCTGAATATGAACTTATGATCAGACTTGACCCTCACTGGAAATTTCACACTAAACTGCTTCTATTGCAATTATTAAATGGGTAAGCTCCATGTTAATTTCCTAAATTTCTTCAAGGAGGGGCAATGCAAAGATGTGATATATAACATTAATGTCCCAAAGCAAGACTCAATGAAATATAATAAGTAGATTTATTTATTTATTTATTCATTCATTTATTTTCTGTATTTATATCCCACCCTTCTCACCTCGAAGGGGACTCTTGTGAGTGGCCTTACAATAGGCAACAATTTGATGCTATATCAAACAGACATAATAAAATAAACATACTAAGGGCTTTTCTACACTAACCTCTAATGCAAGGCGACTTTGTGTCCTGGATGCCAGATTGGTCCCACATGGCATCCATAGACATAGCCAAACAATCACCTTGGAGGCGGGAAGAATCCTGACTGCCTAGCCATGTCAAAATTACCTTCAGGCTACATGTATACGGTATATACAAAATATCTACAAATCTCATGTTTAGATTTGCTTCTCATCTCCGAGATATCTCATTTGCAAGTACACCAAAATCAGAAAACATCTGAAATATAACACATTACAAGCATTTCAGATAAGAGATACTCAATCTGTGTAATCATTTTTCTGGTTATACAAAAGCAGCTTTGTCTAGAAACAACAGTGTTCTTTCTTTTCAGATGAAGGAATACCTGTTTCCACTGGTATTCAGGCGGAGGCAATAAAAGAAAAATACTCTGCTGGAGCTGTTATCCCAGTAGGAATCACATTGTGCCTCATTTTGACTATTTTTATTGTCTCTTATATCTTGGAGATGAAGACAGAAATTCTCATAAGTTATTACACTTTTCCGTTTGGTTAAATTGTTTTTCAATAATTCTTTTGCTATCAGCAAGTGATGTTTCTTTTTTAATGATAGCATTAACAAATGAAACCCTTTAAATTGCAGATAGTATGTTACATTGGTCTGTTACAAAATACACTGAGAACAAAGCTTCTGTGAGATGAGCTATTGTTATTTGAATCCATTTTGAAACAACCCAAAACAATTTTGTTACAGTTTTAGCCAAATCTGTCCAAAGGACAACATTATGTAACAGTTGTGAAGGAGAATCCAGACAGCACAGAAAGCTAAACAAACAAAAATATGTAGAAATTTAATAGTATCTTTAATGCAAGAGCATCTGAAATTTTTGTGATCTAACTTTGGTTGAAAGCTTTAATTCTTGTACATGCATCTTCCTGTTACTGGAATTGTAGGCTTCTCCCCACCCACCCGCACCCCCGGAAAGTATTAAATTTATGCAACTATACATATGTAGTTGTTGACAAATTTGATCTGATTCATTAGGCCCATTAATGAAGTGAGGTCTAAGCATCATCTTAAAAAGGTAAAGGTTTCCCCTGACATTAAGTCTAGTTGAGACAGACTCTGGGGGGTGGTGCTCATCTCCATTTTTAAGCCAAAGAGCCGGCATTGTCTGTAGACATCTCCTAGGTCATGTGACCGGCATGACTGCATGAAACACCGTTACATTCCCGTTGGAGCGGGACCTATTGATCCACTCATTTTTGCATGTTTTCGAACTGCTAAGTTGGCAGAAGCTGGGGCTAATGATGGAAGCTCATCCTGCTCCACAGATTTGAACTGCCGACCTTTTGGTCAGTGAGTTCCATAGCTCAGCGGTTTAACCTCCTGCACCACTGTGGCCATGATGGCATCATCTCAGTATACTTATCCTTAGGGTTTTTCCTTTGCAAATTAATATGCACATGTCTTCACTTAGGAAAAATAAGAGGTGGATGAAATGTTGTTTGTTTTTTTTTACAATGATAATTTTTCTTGTTTGAAATGCTTACTGGGAAGATTTTTGTTTCAAAACAGGTGTTATAGAAAAAAATGTTTTCATTTAGTTTCATTGTCTAGTGGGAAATTCACTGCTGCACTGTTCATATTGGATTAAGTTGTGAACATAGCAGTGGGACAGCCAGAAATGACATATTGCTTATTACTTAACACATACATGAAAAGTAGACAGCTATACTCATTTTTCACAGTGAATCTCATCTGCAACTTTCATATCCATCATATGGAATTTTCAATGTACACTAAGTGTTCATTTCTTACTCCTTTTTTCTGCTGTCAACTGCAGCCAGAACAGGACTACGTAATCAGACAAAATTAACCAGACAAAATGTACATGTAGGTCATTACCATCATCATCAAATATAGTCACTCATGCCTCTAAGTAACTTATAAGCAATGATGCCAGCCTTTTCTGTTTGTTTTCAGCATCCAGTAATAAGAAATGCAGCATCTCTGAAATTTCATTTCAACTTTCCTGGCCAATAACTATGATATACCAATTACCATGTTATAAAATCCTTTTTTAATTGGCAACGATAGTAGCAATACCTGTTAAAATGTCTTGCAGTAACATGTTCTGTAAGCTATTTATATGTAAAGGCTTTTGCCTTAGCTTACATATAAACATGTAGGAGCTCAGTTTTAAAAAATCGCACAGTCCACTTTGAAAATATTATCTAATAAATATAATCTATTTTTGTATTTTATTTCAGAAGGGGCCAAAATTCATTATGGCAATCACAAATGCATAATCTAGAATTAAAATCTTTGTCTGATTTGTATTTACAGTGCTAAGGCGGTTATGTAGTCACATAGATGATACAGAATCATGGTCACCAAGCTATAAATTATAGCACCCGCTTTTTAAAGAGTTCCAGTGTTATGGCAAATAGATTCAAAATTAGTTTTGCTGCTGAAGGGGCCATGGCTTTGACATAATTTTACCTCTGCTATTTGGATCTACATCAGTGGCATCACTAAGGGCGTAATGGGGGGTGCAAACTATACTGGGTGACACTATCCAAGGGGATGGCACCAAAATTGAAGTCTATAAACATTATGAAGTGTTTCAGCAGAATTTTCAAAAATCCCTGTAATTTAACTACAAAAACATTTTCTATAAGCCCAGCTCACATATATACTCCATCAATATATTTACAAAGCTAAAAATCTGTGCTAATTGACTTTTTAAACCTTCTAATGAGCATACACTTTGCTGAGAGCTACCATTATCATCCAATTACAATGATGCTCAGATTCATGTGGGTTTGGCTGCATGTCTACAGTTTCATACTATTATTTCAGTTGCTGTTGGTGTGTATATATATATATATATATATAATCTCAGATTTTGTCAAACTTTCTGGTATTTTAGCTACAATATGGTCTGGTATGGGAAGAAGTCCATGGGATGACACCATGAGTTATTTATTTACCATATTTATATACTGCCGCTCTCAGCTCGAAGGTGACTCGAGGCGGTTGACAGTCGGCAGTCAATGCCCCAAACAACATAAAATACAGTTAAAAATGTTACATAAAATATAAACCATATAAAAGCAATAAAACAATAAAAGCCATAAAACACAAGTCCTCAGTGTCTCATCACTAAAATCATTTTTCCATCACATTGTCCAATCATTCAGTGGATCTCAATTAGTCTGTTACTGTGCCTGCAAATGCCTGCTCAAAGAACCAGGTTTTGACTCTCTTTCAAAATGTTAGGAGGGAGGGGGCTGATCTAATATCCCTAGGGAGGGCATTCCATAGCCGAGGGGTCACCGTTGAGAAGGCCCTGCCTCTCATTCCCACCAATCGCATCTGCAAAGGGATGGGACCGAGAGCAGGGCCTCTCCAGATAGTCTTAAGCACCTAGATGGTTCATAGGGAGAGATGCGT